CTTCGTTCAGTTTATTTCACAGGACATTTGCTTCTTATTATCAAAGCATACCAAAACATGACAAGAATCAGTTGTCTACAACTTTTAGGATAGCAAAACCTATTGCTGCAAATCTATTTTCATCTATGGCAGTGGGTAGGAAAACCCCAGTACCTCAAACTTGGCTATCTACTATATTGTAATTCAGTTTAAAATCATTGTCTATCTAGCACGTTCCTGGCCACCCACAGACAATGCCTACTGTGTCAGCTGCTTAAGCAGCCAGAAAGAAAAGTCTCTCAGATTATGAATATTAAGAGACGGCAGTTAGATGGTTTATTTGCTCATTTATGAGAAATGAACAGAAATACCTCAGAGCATAAAGAAATTAAGAGATATATTCATACTGCTATAAAGACTTACTGATGAACGTAAAGTGAGAGCTGTCCATACTGTAATAAAAATCACTTGTTACAATAGCAAGAGAGCGATGAGTTCTTATAGCAATACTTCTTAATAGCAGACTATCCGTAAGCTCTAGCCATCACAAAGAAATACCTTTTTATTTGACTTGAACATAGTGTGTTGGTTGATTAGAGCTACATATACTGAGACTTACAAACAGGTAACACTGGCATGCTCAGAAATCAAAGTTCATTTTGCTAGGAACACCTTTCACACATATCCTCAAAGTTACAAGCAAATCTGACCCTAGGAGTGGCGTGATTTCTGATTTCTTTGTTTAGCTACCTATGGGTGTATGGGAATGGAGATTACTGGAAGCAGAGTTGAAGAAATGAAGTTTTTGCATATTTCTGAATGAAGTAGTTGATATTCCTTCTTATGCTATATTGAAGAAAGTTCATCTTGCTGATGGACTAACTCTCTAATGCTATAATTATCTTATGAGAATACAATTTTTTTTGAAGAACATGCTGATAGGGGAAAAGAATAATCTAAACTGAAGCTTTGAAGAGTGTCAGGGTAGAGATCTACAGGCAATGGAACTCCACAGCAAGAAAATGAAGTGTCACCTCAAGATAGGTATGAACTGCAGTAATAAAAACTGTGTGTAAAAAAATACGTGCATTTCCATTGTCAGGTGGACAATTATAGTCAAACCTGGAACAGGCTTTCCTGGCAACATCATAACAGGAGAAAATGCTTGCACACCATTACGGAACTATGAACACAATCAACTGAGGATTCCATAGAGATTATAACCACAGGATTTAATAAACTAGCATAAGTGAATAGAGCATTGTTAAATCAATGAAGAAGTAAGTGTATAGGGAAAGACAATAAAGACACTGAAAATGAAAACAAGACCCAGAAGTCACATAGAAAATGCTGTACCAAAGTCTATTAATAATTCCCTTTTTAAAATGTCATTTATTATTCAGTTAAAAGAATCTTATTAAAATTTGGGAAACTGCAATATGCTCTCTCTACCAAAACAGCCTTAACTAGATACAAAACAATGTATACTGGAAAAAATTAATTCAAGTACAGGGAATAAAATATAACTAATAAAAAGAAAAAAGTTACTTAATGCATATGCTAACAAATAAACATCCCTATTCTTATGCTGACGTTCTTATGATTTGGATAGGACCTTAATCATCAAAAACATCTTAGTAAGACTCTGAAGTACACTAAAATTCAGAAGTTCAGGCATCTTCAATAGACATAAAATCCTTACTTGCTTGTGCTTGTTTCTGTGCAACGTCTCTTCTTTGTCAAACATCAAACACTGTAATATAGGAAAATATTTGTGATATTGAGATTTAAAAAAAATACTTTAGGCTTTCAGTTTGTCTTTTTGCCAAAAAGGTTCTATGAAATGCCAATGTGTACCAGCCTTGTTTCATATGAAGCAGATGTTAAGATCCCACTTCTGTACTTAAGAGCCCTCTGACAGATTGGTGGGAATTGATGTGATGTGACATCAGATAGTTGAGGTGATCTTAATATGGTGACAGATGTTATAGTCTCATACCGCTCTGATATTTCCAGTCTAAGCATGGGTTTCCATTGAAAGCACAGTTCCACAGTCTTAGCTACACATCCTTGTTACCACATTGTGCCAATAGTAGTGCTCCTGGGGATGCATGACTAGGTGGATCAAGGAACTGATCTGTCTTTTCAGGACATCTGTCTATCAAGGAAAACTTCCTTTTCCCTCGTAAATTTTCAGGCAAATCCATCCTTTACAAACACTAACACCAACACAGGGGAGGAACCAAGAACATAGGACTCGTGGCAGACAAGCTCAAATGATTTAAAGTAATTGTGATAGCACCACATCTTTGGTTGCCACTCTGGCTGGATCTCTAGCACTCCTTTCCTCTTGGAAAAGCTCTTCTCCAAGAGTTGCTTTATTTTTTTATAACCTCTGTGCTCCTGGAGGCTTATAATAGAGGAATTAGAGCTGACCTCTGGGTACCTGGGAGGCACCTCCTGTCTCTCATTTCTTGGTTTCACATGAAGTCTTTTCCCTGTCTCTTTCAGCCTCCTTGCTAGAAGAAAGATAAACTGCAGCTTCTCTGTTTCCCTGGCTGCTGCAGTCCTCACAGTTAGTCCCAGCTCACTATCTAGTGACATGTCTCCATAGTGACTTTGTATTTGCCGGACTAGCATTACACAGCACAGCTCACATACTACAGTTACAGTGCTATTTCACATTTCCCAAATAGGACACTAAATCCCTCACCTGATGTCTTTAAACTATGACCAGGTGACCCACCTAGTGGATGAGGGAAAGGCTGTGGATGTGGTCTACCTGGACTTCAGCAAGGCCTTTGACACCGTCTCCCACAGCATTCTCCTAGAGAAGCTGGCGGCTCACAGCTTAGACAGGTG